TCTGCAATATGGGAGGTTAGATAAGATGGCTCAAAGCATAAAATTAACACCATGTTGTATATATCACATCAGTGGAATATGAGTAGAATGTCTAGGATAACTTAAATTTCAAAAAATAGATTTTTAACAAGTTCTCATATGATATTAGGTAATTTTAATTCAATTAAAAATCTTAAAAAATGATAAATAAATTAGTGTTTTTATCAATTTTTCTAAAAAAACCCCTTTGATTAATCAATAGTATCTTCTTTTTTCTTTTCACCATTGTTGGAATCATTTTCCTACATGGGGATTTAATAAAAACTACTTACATTATTTTTAAAACACTAATATTATCTTTGCTATTATGAATGACATCAACATCAAATTACAAAGGTCTTCCAAAAAAGATATAAACTGAATCTATCTCAAAATATCACACTAAGCATCTCCTAAATAAGGTTTTTCAATGGAAAATTTCATCACATACATCTCAAAAACTCTAGGTCCTGTATCTTTTATAATTCTATCAATTCAGTATGCATGTGTGTGCATTGGTTTGGAGCCCTAATTTTCTTATCATATTTGAAGACATAATGTTTTCACTACTACCACAGTCAACAATAACTATGCACTTGGTTGTAAATCTTTTCAAACCTTTTTATTTGTGATGCACGTCATTCTAAATACATTTAAGTCATTGTGAATTTTCTTTCTTTCATAATACATAAAATAATCTTCTAACCACAAGAGAATGTGATAGTGTTTCTCACCTATTAAATTTAGGCTACATTTAACTTGAATATTCTTATTAAATTTACTATTACAGGTAGTTTTCCAAAGGATAATGTAAACTTTGAATACGTACAGAACTTTAATGACTTGCATTGTTCTCCTCCTCTTATCAGAATGCTAGTTGTTGATGGAGACTATTTATGCTTTGAACAAGTTGAGGATCTTTTAATGCTTTATCTTCAAGCAAATTGGCTTCCTAGCACAATCTTCATAATTTATTGCCTGAATTTCTTTTGTGAAAAAATTAATATAATACTAGAGGTTGTTGAGAAGATAAAGATGTCCGTTGTATTTCACTTTCATCATTAGAATATAGTAAATATTAAAGGAAAATCATGTATGAAAATATTTTCTAATTTTCTCAAGTTTGCTATGACTATTTTCTTTCAAATATGATTAATTCAAATGGTTGAGATACATGTACAATCCGTCATTTGAATGATAAGGATATCTTAAGATAAAAAGAATACAAAATTTTTTCAACACTTAATGTTCATATCCACATCATATCTATTTAGTTAAGATGGGTAAGGATCTGATGTTGTAAAAATAGAGGTGATAATATCTATTCATATAAGATGATTATTATGTAATCAAATTTTATTTAAATCACCTCAAATAAAATACAATCATCAAATCCACATCATGAATCATGATCTCAACATTTATAATCCTGATTTCAGCAGTTTGAGATATCAAAAATAAAATTTCAAAATTATATTCTAAAGTTGAATATAATATCAAAGTCACTAACCCTCAAATTTCTAAGAATTTAAGTTTATTGAGCTAGATTTAGGCTCCTAAGTCTTGCTTCTCTGACCATAGGGTTTCCTAAATTAATATTTTACACCTAAATAATGGAATTCCTGGGTTATGTATTGTATCCTACAAAATATTTCATTTAAAATATCATTTTCTTGTTATCGAGTTCAGGCTTCCAGTTATGGAAGCAGCATGCTGTCTTCATGGTGTGTTCATAGATCTGACCTAGGAATACCAATGTCTCCCAAAATTAATGGTCTACAATGCCAGCATTAAATGCCTCAAAAAGTAATTAGTACGATTGGGACACTTACAATATTTAATAGATTAGACATACATTAGAAAATGGCAAAAATCGTCAAGGATAAAGTTGAACATAAGGACCGATGAAATCAGCAAGAGATACATATTAAATTTTTCACCAAGTTCACAAATCTGCCTCCTTTGAGTCTAAACCTTGACTGCTGCGAAATTGATTCCGGTGTCCTCATTAGAAGGTTTGGCCCACCACTGTCCAATCCTGGTGAGGACGTGTGTTATTTACATTTGGTTTAGGCATATCTGTATTTAACATCGAACCAAGTGCTTCCAATCTTGGATAACTCTCGATACTCTATTCTACACAACACAAAATCTCAATGAATTGTTTGATTTATCCAAATGGTGTATGTACCTCCCTGCGTGCACCTCCAACTTAGGACAATTTGAGTCATATCCAGTTGTCACTGATGTCGATCTGACCTCTGGGTACCATAAAGAATAACATTTAAAGAGAAGAACCGTCGTATTATAATGGGTCAACTAGAAGAATAATCGAAGTATTGAGTTGGTTGGCTATCCAATAGGATTTATGCCAGTAAACGAATTAAATAAAACACGACTTGTCCTGCACCGTATAAAGTCTCCATATAATGTTGTCTTGCTGGACGCCACGCAAAAGAGCAACCCAGAAATGGCGCCTTTATTCTTGTTGATCTCCTCTACCCTGTTATGCCTTCTTCTTTCTTGCTACAGCGGCCAGGCTCATGGGAATGACCAGAAATTCACCGTTTTTCGAGTGGATGACTACACGCCCCCAGCCAATTGTTCTTCATCCGAAGGTTTGCTGAGATGATTAGCTTACATCAGGCAATCGTATTCTTCGTTTATAAAATAAGTTTAATAATGAACTCGCGCTCTTTTGACAACTTTCGAAGTCTCATACTGATGAAATCAGTACTAAACGTTTCGTCGTCCCATCGACTGAAAGCATTTTATCTTTCTACATGACCCTCAATAATCTTTCGTGGGGCCGTATGAATTTTATAGATCCGTCTTTCTCTCTGTCTCTCACTCTCTGCCTGCCTCTCTCTCTCTCTCTTTATCTCTCTCTAGCTCTTCTCTATCTCTCTCTCTAGCTTTCTCTCTCTCTCTCTCTCTCTCTCAATCTATCTATCTACCTATCTATCTACCTACCTATCTATCTATCTATCTATCTATCTATCTATCTATCTATCTATCTATCTATCTATCTATCTATCTATCTATCTATCTATCTATCTATCTATCTATCTATCTATCTATCTATCCCTCTATCTATCTATCAATCTCTCTCTCTCAATCTCTGTCGCACTCTCTCTTTCTCTCTCTCTCGCTCTCTCTCTCTCTCTCTCTCTCTCTCTCTCTCTCTCTCTCTCTCTCTCTCTCTCTCTCTCTCTCTCTCTCTCTCTCTCTCTCTCTCTCTCTCCCTCTCTCTCTCTCTCTCTCACACACACACACGCACACACACACACACACTCGCTCTCCCTTCCCCTCCCCTCCCTCCCGTCTCTCTCTCTCTCTCAACTACCACCCACCCATCTGTTTAAGACGGGCTAAACTGCAACCCTTTGGACTGGGAATGGTGCCTCTCTCTGTCTTCGTCTGTTCCTCGCTCTCCCTCTCAACCACTTTCTACGTATCTAATTACTAGGGCATAAGGATGCAACCGTTTGGACGGGGAAGGATGCTCCTCTCTGTCTCTCTCTCTCTCTCTCTCTCTCTCTCAATCACCATCAGCTCATTCGTTTTTGAGGACCGAAATTTGTAACTCTTCAGACGAGGAATTCTCCTTTGTCGCTCTATCAATCCCTCTATCAGGAGAAATAACGCAGATCGAGGGGTATAAAGCCGGGTAATCATTTTATTAAATCATATATATAATTGGATAAAAGCCAATGCAAAATAGATATAATTGATATCTTGTTTGAACCAGAATTTTTCATGGGCTAAGCAAGTTTTTGAATATACTTCATGGATGTTTCGATAAATCATTTATTCTTCAGCTTACTCCACATTATTGCTTTTGGACTGTCTGTGTTGACATGTCTTGCACAACCGTGCACAATTAGGACCCACTCAAAAACTGAGGTACAGGTTATTAGTTTTAATTGTCTAGTTACTTCTGTCGTTGGTCACGAAACCTTCAGCATTCGACCCTCTCTCTCCCTCCCCCGCTCCCCGGGTCCCTCTAAATAGTCTAAATATCTATGTAGATACATAGATATATATATAGAAATATCTGTATGCAAGTGTATTAATTTATCTCTCTCCACTCGTTTGGTACGTGTAGACAAATACATTCACATATTTCTGTCCATATTTCCCAATCTTTACCTATAGAGTCGACAATATTACCAAAACTCGGAATCCTCGTAGATATCACAAGACGGTATCATTTCTGACCTTATCCTCTGTTAACAGCCCCGGGGGGTCATTCGCTAACGATCGTCCACCGTTACGGTCCTTGCTCACCCTACAACAACAGTAAACACAGCCAACTGGAAACTCTCGCCCGGGACTCCCTGAGGGTTGCTTCATTGCAGGCGAGGATATCCCACTCCGTTGGCGACAACAAGACATTCATAGAGCAGAGCGGCGTTTCCCTTCCAGCGCAGAGCGGTGCCTACCTCGGCATCAGCAATTATGTCGTTACCATCGGACTCGGCACTCCCACGAGAGCCCAGACTGTGGAAATCGACACCGGTAGTGACGTTTCCTGGGTCCAGTGCAGACCCTGCACGTCGTGCTACCCACAGCGAGAGCCGATATTCGACCCTTCGGCCTCTTCCTCCTACAGTCGGTTCTCCTGCAGCTCGACGGCGTGTGCTAATCTCAATCCACGAAGCTGTTCCGCCGGTACCTGCGTTTATGGCGTTCGATACGGCGACGGCTCCACCACCACCGGGTATCTATCCTCCGACAAGCTTACGCTGACAGCAGCCAACGTGTTCCAGAGCTTCATTTTTGGATGCGGCGTAAACAACCAGGGCCTCCTTCAGGGTGCCGCTGGCTTGGTGGGTCTAGGCCGAGGCTCATACTCTCTGGTGTCACAGACCGCTTTCAGGCTTGGCAACGTCTTCTCCTACTGTTTCCCCGACCGAATCAGTTCTACTGGCCAGCTGACCCTAGGTAGGAGGTCAGCTTCCGGAGCAGTTTACACTCCAATGCTCACCAGCCCACGCTCGCCCTCTTTCTACTTCATCCACTTGATCGGCATCAGTGTCGGTGGGACGCGGCTGCCGGTGACGGCGACCGTCTTCACAGATGCCGGCACAATCATAGACTCTGGGACCGTCATCACCCGCCTACCACAGGCGGCCTACGCCGCTCTTAGGTCGGCTTTCCGGAGCGCCATGTTGCGGTATACAAGAATTCAGGTGTCGACTCTTCTGGATACCTGCTACGACTTCAGCAACGCGGGGACCGTGACGTACCCCGTGATCAAGCTCCACTACACCGGCGTCGACGTTACCCTCGGTTCAGCGGGAGTGTTCTTTTTCCTCGGCAATTCGCGGTATTGCCTCGCTTTTGCCGGAAATACCGCGTCCGGCCAGGTGGGTATCATTGGCAACGTCCAACAGAAGACATTTGAAGTGATCTATGATATCGGTGCAAGGAGGATCGGGTTCGCTGCCGGCGCTTGCGCCTGATTTCCCACCGAACCTCGACTTCGTCTTCAGTAATTGGAATAAAACCAGCTGTTCCTTACGCGCTACCTCTGGTTCTTCTAGTATTTTGAATCCGACAGGTGCGATCTTTCTGTTTTGGGATTTGGATGAAAACCCGGCATGATGTTTAGTGTTGCTTCTGCTGTGTTTGGAATAACTTCTAGACTATAATATAAATCCAACTTTATGAACCATACTTGTGTCCTCATCTGATATTGTCACTTCAAAGAATGTACCCTCGTATCTGATGCCATCTCAAATGGAAAGATAAGGCTAAATTCCGTGATTCATGTTATACAGCGGTCCTCTGTCCACTGAGTGCCTTTGCGTCTTCTTATATTACAACCTTCATAGGTAAAACTAATCAAAAAGACCTACAAGAAATCAAGAGATGGCAGTAAAGTTTTAAAGATATTCCCCTTGAAAGAAGGGTGCAATCCAAGAAATAATCAAGCATTTATACGTAAATATAAAGCAAAAATTGACATAACATAATTTCAATTACAAGATCCGGACACCAGGGATTTAATAATCTATGGCTATGAACTCTGTGTAGAATGAGCTGCGCATCAGCTTAATTTCATTGCCGTTCACTGGTTTGAAAATTAATGAGGGATTCATACCCACTGATCTACTGGAACTCTTTAACATGGAGTCAGCTTCTTGGAATATCATATTCACAAACCAAGCATACATTTAGTGCCAAATCTCTTCATTTGGTGTATGTTATTCACGAAAGATAATTCAGTACAGGAAGCGTGACAGACAACCTCACATATCAGAAATCACGCAGTAGGTTACATATCCAGCGCCATTCATAATAATGGCCTGGAGGAACCCATACATAAACATCCATCAGGAAACATCAGTTCTTGCTGGCTATGACGGCACGAAGCATAAGACAGATGATAACTCTCATTAATTATATGACAAAATGCTTAATATTTTATAATTTATTATTTAATTTTACATAAATATTTATAAATTCTTTTAATCTAGAAAAAATGATATTTATATGGTTATATTGTTAATTTCTAGAAATTATATGATGAAATTGCCTATGAAATATTTTGATATGTTTTTCCAATGAATAGTATTATTATCAAAATGCTTCTATGTTAATTGCATTTATTTCTGAATTTTTCCTGAGCTTATTACGATAAATAATAATAATAATATAATAAAATTAAAATACGATACTAAATTCTCTTTTTAGGTTTTCTGCATCAACGACGGACGTAACGAATACAGCGAGAAGTTCGGCGGATGATTCGACGAAATCGACGGAAATAACACACAGGAAGATGGAAAAACGCTGGAGGAGGAAGAAGGGGGCATCTTCGATCAATCTATCGCGCTCCACAACCATTTTCTCTCTCCTCCGGCGGCGACGAACGCCGGATTCGCCTAAATCATCTATCCGATACAAACGATAGATTTACAAACGATAGATTTCTTCTCGAATTCTCCCTGATTCAGTCGCTTCAGAGGCTGAAATTCATCCAAGAACTCGTCCCATTCTTCGCCCGATACAAATGGCGAAGAATTTCTTCCAAGGATCCTTCTCCGAACACCGTGGCTCGCTCGGAGTCGAACCACCGCCGTCAACCGGTTCCAGCAAGTGAAAATTGTTGGGATCTTCATTCATCGACTGTAGAGTTTTAGGAATCCATTCGGTGCACCGCGCCTGCACAAATCGATCGAATTCGGTCGGAAATTCGATCGTCGACCGTTCCGCCAATTCTTCCGTAAAACTTGAATCTTTGCATGATTTTACTTTATTTTTAATTTATTAAAAGTTTCATTCAGTTCTACATTGTGTTACGAAAAATTTCTCTTTGAAAACCAAAGTTTATTTCTAAGTATTTTGGCTTTGATTTTAAGAAATACGAGTCGACGCATTTCTGGCGACTTGAATTTGGGGGTGTTCTTCGCGGGCTGACGTCATAATGCATATTTTCTTATTTTTTAAAATTATTTTTTTATTACTAATATTCGAAATTAAAAAATATAGAAAAGTAGTCTATCAATTGGAAATGATAAAAATAATTAAATAATTTCTTATCTTTCTTGTGTTTGACTTGGAAGATATGCAATAAATGGCCCCATGAAACAACAAGCTAAAGGAATTCACTGTAGGGAGAGTACCACACACAACAATATATCCTCTTATTTATGGAAAGTCTAACACAGAAATGCTATGAAAGAAGAACAAAACCTCTGCCCAATAAACCAATAAGAATGCAAGTACATGCATGCACCCAAACTCTACCTTCACCACATGTATGCCACTCAACACGTTGATGGTTATTTTCTTTCTTCCTTCCACTTTCTTCAAGACCTAAGATAGATTAGAGTATATATTAATTGTCTAAAGAAAACATCCAATCAACTAGGGAATCATGACAAGCATGAGTGATAGGGACAAGCTAAGTAAAAGGTGCAGAGAGATATTTTCAATACCAATGCTTGCAAAACCTTGTGCTTTTGTTCCAAGGACTCCATATGGAGGGTCATCTAACTGTACCCATCAACATTGTTGAAGGAGAAGAGAAGGAGGTGCCAAGGAAAGAGAGACAAAACTGCCTCTAGAATTTCAAGGAAACCTTGGTGCCATCGTGGTGAGTCTCAGTTCTGGCAATCACCCTCAACTATGACGGCACCAAGGTTTCCTTGGAGCCGACGGGGATGCTCACCACCATTGAGGAAGCTCAGGTTTGCCCAATCATTCATTGAGAATGAGGAGCCTAGTGACATGGCCATCATCGGGGACATTCAGGGAATGGATTATTCATACCAGTTAGTGCAGATTGAGGAAAAATACTTCTAAATTGATTAGAAAGTATGAGCAACAACAAATGAATACTCAAAATAGGGAAGAGATCAGTTGCCACTTGCCTGAGATACTTGCCTGTTCCCTAGTGAAGGGTGGAGTGGGGAATACTGAAGGGTGGACTCTTGGATGTACACATTTTTATTAACTTGTCAAATAAGTTGCACAGTGTGAAGATGTTGCCCACATGTATTCCTTCCTCTTCCCTTCGCTTATGAAATCTGGGGTGGACTCATGTTAAAGTCAATCATATTGAATGGGTATTATTTAAATTTTGATGGGGGCAACCAAAAAAAAGGGTGGCAAAGTAATTATTTCTTTTAGCAAGTACATCATGTTCAAGATAACTTAATGTAGAGAATTGTCAAGATATCAAGCTTCTAAGAGGTAATTGAACATGTATCTTACTAAGAGTTTCTGACATTTGAGAGATGTTGGCTGTTAAAATAGAATCGTTTCATTGTTAATGAGAAAACCCTCTTCGATGTTTGTTATGAGTTTGCATGAAGTCTAGTATATTTTTCATATTTGTGTGATGAGAGATTTATTTTCCAATGGTAAAATAAATATATTCTCTTTATACCCAAAATAAGCAGCATCCTTTCACAACTTAACTGAGGGAATTCATTTTCCATTTCTTGATATCTTATGGGGTTGTTTTAATTAGTTTTATCTACTCAATTTGCAATAAAAAAAAGAAGACCCATTTTGTAGTGATTAGTAAATAATATAATTTTAGCCTTAACTCATGATAAATAGACTTATATTTATGTTAAAGTGTGAAAAGTGGTTTTCAGTTGATTAACGTGAACTTTTGAGTAATTATGTAGTTTTATATGATTTTTACAGTCTTACTTTTGAGATAAATGAAGAACAAGAAATAAAAATAAAAATATTGCAAAATGGGGGGACCCGCCGGCCATTGAGAAAAATTCTGAATAATTACTAGATATTAGATTACATCCCTGTGATTGACCTGAAAAATTACCGCTATTTTTGGAAGTTTGATTGAATTATAATTGATATATTTATTTAGAAATACTTCTAAATATTTGAAAATTCATACTTTCTAGCTTTATAAATTTTAGATTTGCGTTGATTTAATATACAACAACTTAGTTTTATAAAACTTGATGTGACTTAGTCGTTGTATATTAAATCAATGCAAATCTAAAATTTATAAAACTAGAAAATATCAATTTTTGGATATTTAGAAGTATTTCTAAATAAATATATCAATTATAGTTCAATAAAACTTCCAAAAATAGTGGTAATTTTCTAAGTCAATTATAGGGATGTAATATAATATCTAGTAATTATTCAAAATTTTTCTCAATGAATACGATTTTCTATGAAATTTATACTAGAAAATGAAAAGGAAATATATTTAAAATTCACAAAAGAGGGAAATAAGGGTGCAGACATTAAGATGACATCAGGGCCCAGCGAACGTGAATTAGGGAAAAATAGAGTTCCACCTGACGATTCTTATGTAAGCAATTACAGACGATGTAATTAATCAAATTAAGATTTATAAAAGCTAGAAGAATCATAATTAAATAAAGTATATTTTGGTAAATTAAAAACACAAAAAGTATCATTAAATAAAGCGTAAAGTAAATTGAAAGTAGGAAAATAGAGTTTCGGTGTCGTGACAACGATGCATCGACGATGAACCAGAATCTTGAGCGTTCGAAAGGATCGTCATGTAGTGTCAATGGCCTTGAAGGCTCTCATTAGATAAAGACGATGTGGGCAATCTGTAGATCTTCTCACGAAGTCTAGAGATTAATGTAATGAGTCATCGAGTCGTCTCTAGTGGCTGTCACGTGGCAGAGTAGAAAAACGGCGACTTTGCGGCTATCTGGCGGTTGTCACCCGACGGAGAGGAGCTAGATGGAGATGGGGCGCATGTCAAGGAGCTTCATCCTCAGGTCTCCGTAGCAAGAGGAGGCTCTTCATCGCATCTAGTATACTCTCAGGAGGTGGTGACTTGTCTCTCGGTGGATCGTCCTCTTCTTGACGACGGCTTGTTTGTCGATCAATCAGAGATGATTTACTTGATAGATTCGTGATCCTTTTATCGCAAATCCTTCAACAATTTTAGTAACGAATTGTGTTGACAAGATTTTTGCCAATGATCTAGCAATTCTAGTTGCTTAATCCTTCATCGGCGATCTATAGGAAAGCCACGATAATCAGATAAAAATATGAGTTTTGGCTCTACGAGGATTTGAACCCACGCTAATTGCCCTTGCCTCTTTTGAAGAAGGTGACGGGTTTAGTCCCACATCGGTTGTGTGCCAAATGTTTGAGTGAATAAATAGTAATGTAACATTTTTCAACAAAGTCTTTTTCTCGTGCGTGTACGACCACTCTTTGCCCCACAGCCGGCTGGCCACCAGTGACGTGGAAAGGGAGTGGCACACATGTGCCCCCATCAGTTCAAGTTGCTTGAGCCCCTACTCCCGGTTACTCCCCGACTACGCTTCTGACTCGCTTGTGGGCCCAGCTGGCCAATAAGTCCCCCCATTTTACAATATTTTATTTCTATTTTTTATTCTTCATTTATCTCAAAAGTAAGATTGTAAAAATTATGTAAAATCACATAATTACCCAAAAATTTATGTTAATCAACTGAAAACCACTTTTCACACTTTAACACAAATATAAGTCTACTTATCATGAGTTAAGACTAAAACTATTTTATTTACTAATTATTAACTCATGATAATGAAGACTATCAATCATTTATACAAAGACCTGATAAGTCTTCATTATCATGAGTTAATAATTAGTAAATAATATAGTTTTAGTCTTAACTTATGATAACTAGACTTATATTTATGTTAAAGTGTGAAAAGTTGTTTTTAGTTGATTAACATGATTTTTTAGCTAACTATGTGATTTTGTACGAGTTTATATGATTTTTATTATCTTATTTTTGAGATAAATGAAGAAAAAAATAAAAATAAAAATATAGTAAAATGAGGGGTACTTGTCGACAAGCCGAGCCGCAAGTAGGTTAGAAGCATATTTAGGGAGAAGCCGTAGTAGGGAGGGGCTCGAGCGACTAAGACCAATAGAGGCACGTGTGCATCACTCCCCTTCCATGTCACTAGTAGTCAGACGACTATGTTGTAAAGAGTGGTCATACATACGGGAGAAAGGGACTTAGCTACAAATGTAATATTAGTATATATTCGTCTGAAACTTTGACAGACAAGCAATATGAGACTAAACCCACGTCACACCTTCCCCCAAAAGGCTTCGATAATTTTAATACCTACAATATCCCTTATTTATAATAGAGATATACTATGATGACATCATTTAATAAGGGTATTAGAGTACTTATTTCAATCTCTCTCATGTAAGCAGACAATCAATGCGGGTTTGAATCTTCTTAAACCCAAAACTTACATTTTTTATCTGATTATCACGACTTTCTTATAGATTGCCAATGAAGGATTAAGTCATTAGAATCATTGGATCATTGGCGAAAATCTCGTCAACATGATTCGCAAAACACTATTACTAAAATTGTTGAATGATTCTTAATAAAAGGATCATCTCTGATTGATTGACCAACAAATCATTGTTGGGAAGAAGACAATCTATTGAGAAACGAGTCAGCACTTCTTGAGAGTGTACCGGATGTGATGAATAGCCTCCTCTTGCTGTGCAGACCTGAGGATGAAGCTCTCTGACATGTACCCCACCTCTATCTAGGTCTTTTTCATGGGGTGACAATTGTCAAAGAGTCACAAAGTCGTCATTTTTTCACTCTGCGGGGTGACAGTCGCTAGAGACGATTCGACGACCTATTTTATTGATCTCTAGACTTCACAAGGAGATCTAGAGATTGTCCACATCATCTTTATCTAGGGAGAGCCTTAAACGTTGTAGACACTACATGACGATCCTTCTGAACACTCAAGATTTTGGTACATTGCTGACACTATTGCTATGTTAGAACTCTATTTTCCTACTTTCAACTTAGTTTCTACTTCATTTAGTAATAATTTATGTGATTTAATTTATTAAGATATACTTCATTCAATCATAATTCTTACAACTTTTACAAATCTTAATTTGATCAATTAAATCGTTTGTAATCGCTTGTGCAAGAATTGTCAGGCAGAACTCTGTTTCTACCTAATTCACATTCACTGGGCATTGACGTCATCCTGATGTATGTACTCTTATTTCCCTTTTTCGTGAATTTTAAATATATTTTATTTTCATTTCTTAATATGAAATTTATAAAAAATAATATTCTTTGAAAAAAATTCTGAATAATTATTTGATATTATATTATATCTCTTGACTTCGAAAATTACCACTATTTGTAAAAGTTTTTATTAAATTATTATTGATATATTATTAAAAAATACTTCTAAATATCTGAAAATTCATATTTTCTAGTTTTATAAATTTTACATTTACATGATTTACTATACAATGACTAAGTCACATCAATGACCAATATTTTAAAGTTAATCTAAAGTGATGAGTATGGTTCTTTGTAAGGTTGACTCAGTCAAAGTATTAAGACTTCTCATCTCTCCCTTGAATTTATTTTAGGGGCTGGTTACGAATATAAAATCAAGTAAAAAGAATATTAAAAAGGGGCTTGGGAGAGAGGAATTGAGAGAGAAAAACTCTTTTTTCTCCAACAGCAAAAATAAGCAATGCAATGTTTACCCCATTTTGGCTTTTGGTCATGATTTATCCTCCACTCATTAGATCTTTTGTTCCTCATTAGTAATGAAATTTCTTCTCATTTTGGTGGCTGTGAGGTGCATTGACCTGTGTGTACCTTATGGGTATTGTTATCTTTTGGGCCTTCCACTATAACACCAGGTCATAAGTTCCATGCCCTTTTTCATAAATATTTGTATCATAATATCGTTGGGTGTTTAGTTTCGGTACTTGAAGAGTAAAACATGTCTACAAAGTTTGATATTGAGAAGTTTGATCAGAACATCAACTTTGGTATATTGTTGGCCAGGATGACAACTCTTTTGACCCACCAAAGGCTGGATAAGACACTAATCAGCAAAGAGAAAATGACAAGCACTATGCCATTAGAAGAAAAATTAGAACTAGACAAGAAAGGTATGACTAAGGTTCAATTAAACTTGTTAAATGAGTTTTTTAAGAAAGTCATTCATAAGACGTAATGGCTGCAGTACAACTGATTCCGTTGTAATGCCTGGCCATAAGTTTCAGGCAATTTTTCCCAACCCCCTTCAACTTACATTTTTATTATAGTACCTAATTTATCCCATAAAACCGGAAATAAGAGATAGAGGTTATCTCAGGTCTCTGGTAAGACAGGACGATCAGAAGACAACCATGTTTTAACCCTAATGAAAGACAAAGTTGGCGCCTAGCGGGGAATCAGGCACAAGTGCCAAAGCAGCGATCTCGATCCTTGTCGTACTGATATCGTAGATCACTTCCACAGTTTTCTGCTGGATGTCGCCGATGATATCGATTTGCATGGGATTAGTATTCCCGACAAATGTGAGGCAATATTGCGAGTTTCTGATGGAGAAGAACACTCTAATGAGCTGAGGGCGACGTCAACGTCAGTGTAGTGGAGCTTGATCGGCGAGCGTCACCATCCCCGCATTGCTGAAGTCGTAGTAGGTTTTTGGGATCAAAGGATCTGGAGAGAGAATGGGGAAGGATCAAAGCACAGATGTTTTCAAAGAAAATAGAGCAGCCTCTCTACTTCATACATTTCATCAAACATGTTGAGTAGAATTTATAGGAGAGAATGAGATTTTGTGGGGCCACATTTCCACGCGGCTTTTGTCTCAATCATAATAACTCAAAAGAGATGGACGGTCAAGATTAAAAACAACAAGACTTAAGAATGGTAAACAATTTAAATAGTCTTTATAAGAGAAATTGCCAGAGTGTCGCCATTTCCTGTGATCTTCACGCTCCCTTTTCTTGACTGGGCTTAACGCCATCAATCTCCCCTCTAAGCCCAATATTCCCCCCATCGTCAAACATGCTCAATTTTTGGCGAAGTTCATCAAAACGAGTTTTTCTCAATGCTTTCGTGAGTATGCCGGCTCTCTGTTCTACTATGTTCCACTTCAATTAGTTTATCTTCAAGGCAAGATCAAATGAAATGATAATGTATATCAATGTATTTCAATCTGTTGTGGTAAACTAGATTCTTGGACAATACAATTGCTGACTTGTTGTCGATAAATAACTTGACTAGAGCTGGTTTTACTATCATCAATTCGCCGATGAGTCTTGATAACCAAATTCCTTAGCATGCTGCTGCAGTAGCTGCCACATATTTGGCTTCACATGAGGAGAGAGCAATAATTTTTACTTTTGTGAAGTCCAGCTTATTGAATTTGATCAGAGGAAGAATAATACTCCAATCGTACTTTTGCGATCAGCTAAGTCACCCGCATGATTGCTATCACTATATCTAAATATAGTGAAGTTGTTCTCCTTCTTGAATAGCACTCCGAAGTTAATAGTGCCTTTAACATACTAGAGAATCCGATTTAAAGCAGCCAAGTGCTCTGTCGTAGGTGCTTCCATGTACCTACTAAGATAGCCCACGTAATAGGTTATATCAGGCCGGGTATGAATTAAATACCTCAAGCTCTCGATTATGCTGCTGAATTTTGTCGAGTCAATAGGTTGACTCTTGCTTCCTTCACTGAACTTGAATCGTGCTTCAAGTGGCATGGAGACAGAGTTACATTCTTGCATTCCACTCTGTTCAAATAACCACAGAACATAGTTCTTTTTCTTCAGTCTGATCACATCTCCAGTTTGTTCCACTTTTATTCCCAGATATGATGTGAGTAGACCCAGATCACTCATCTCGAATTGCTTCATCATTGTTTGTTTGAAATTTGAGATATATTCTTCACTAGTTTCGGTTACTATGAGATCATCCACATACGCCCTGATTGTCAAGTGAACTTTATTAGAGAATTTTGTGTACACTGCATGTTCTTGAGAGCATCTGATAAAGTCAAGTGAGGTGAGAGATTTATCTAGCTTTGTATACCATGATTGGGGTGCCTAATTTAATCCATATAGGGCCTTTTTTAATTTCAGAACATAATTCTCTTTACCTCTGTGGATGAACCCTTTTGGCTGCTTGACAAAAACTTTCTCTTCAAGTTCTCCATTTAAAAATATTGACTTGACATCTAGATGATGAAGTCTCCAACCATTTTGGGCTGCAAGAGCAATTATTACTCTAGCTGTCTCCATTCTTGCTACTGCGGCAAAAACTTCCTCATAATCAATGCCCAATTTTTGAACATACCCTTTTGCGACCAATCTGGCTTTGTGGCGAATTATTTCCCCTTGTGAGTTTCTCCTTGTCTTTAAAATTCATTTAAGACTGATGGGCTTGCAATTTTTTGTGGCCAGAGTGAGAATTCACGTGTGGTTTCTCGCGATTACTTCAATTTCTTCTTCCATGGCTTTTCTCCAAATTTCCAAATTACTTATGAGGTCATTTCTTGATATGAGGGTTCTTCGATTATAGATTGCATTCCTCTATTTCTTTATAGACTTGAGTTATATCTTTAAATCTTCTAGGATAACCTCCTTCTGATGATGAAGATATATCTTGATCTTGGGCAATAGGGATATTGAGTATTGGTTTAGAGACAACTTGGTCGTGGGGATTTCCCGGAGTTAACATAAGTGGGTAAGCAGAGTGTACCTTTGCTAGATTGCTTTGAAGAATTCCACTCCCATTGACTATCTTCTTCGAAAATCACATCTCTACTGATGTGAACTTTATTTTCTTGAGGATCGAAGCATCTATAAGCTTGTCCCCATTTTGTATCCTATGAATATCATAGGTTTGCTTCTGTCTTGTAGCTTGGTCAAGTGTTGTTCGAGTATCTTCACATGAGCCAGTGAACCAAACAATCTAAAGTGAGCCACATTTGGTTTAGATCCACACCAAACTTTATATGGTGTGACTTCATTGAGGCTCTTTGTAGGTGATCAATTAAGGATGTAGATGCTTGTGTTCACGGCTTTGCCCCATAGCTCAGGAGGTAAATTCTTACTTCTCATCATGCATCGAACCATTTCCATAATGGTTAGATTCTTTCTCTCAACAATCTCGTTTTGTTGAGATGAGTAGGGGGCTGTGAGATGTCACTTGATTCCATGTTGAGAACAGAAAGAATCAAATTCCGTAGAATTAAATTCCCCCCCTCTGTCAGTTCGAAAAATATCGATTTTGACTTTCTTCTCTGTCTCGGCCATAGTTTTAAACTTCACAAATGCCTGAAAAGCTTTACTCTTCTGCTTCTAAAAAGCAACCCACGTTAGTTCGGAATAATCATCTATAATCAAGAAGAAATATCGTTTTTCTCTATATGTGCTTGGTATGATCGGGCCACAGAGATCTCTATAAATCAACTCTAGTATATTAAGGATGTTTAGCGGCCACATAATCTCGGCATATGCTCTTGAGCATTTGAAGTGGAGGTAACCCTTGGACAACACTAGGAAAGGACTTTAGAGAGTTGAAATTAAGGTAGCCATACCTCCGATGCCAAATCCATTTGGTCTCAACTTCTTTTGAGACAAGACACAAATCATCAATTGCTAGTTTCAACAGATAAAGACTTCCCTATGTCTTCTTTACTTATGCTAGAAGTCTTCTTTGTTAATCGAGGATAGTGAGATAGCCTGATTCCATCTCGATTTTGAATCCTCGATCATCTAAGTGGCTGAGGCTGAGTATGTGAGTCTCCAGTCTAGAAGCATAAAGTACATTACTAAGGGTCAACGTACTTTTGTCTTGACAACTTACTAGAATGCTCCCTTTGCCTGATATGTCGATGTTGGAGCCGTCGCCAAATTTCACCACCTCTCCAGGTGATTCAATGAGTTTATAAAATAGATTTTGATCTCGAGTCATGTGATTTGTGGCACCTGTGTCTAAGTACCACAGTCCATCTTCAATTTAAGTCTCCATTGTGCCTTGTAGTAGGGTTGCCATTAGAAGCATTGACTCGGCCTTTTCTTCGATCTTCGTGAGGTGAGCTTTCTCCTTTTTCTCTGCATAGCATTCAGATGCATAATGCCCCATTTTGTCATAGTTGTAGCATTTCACTATGGATTTTTCACGAGGCTTCCAGTTTTCATCCGAGCCTCTCTCATTGCTTCTTCCTCTTCCTCGGCCATGCCGACGACCTCGACCATGTCCTCTGCTGTGGGTAGTTCCACCCTTTGTTTTCTCAATCCCGTGAGAAAAAAGGACTTGTTCTTCCTTTTTTTGCTGATGAGACTTGAGCTTCTCTTCGTAGATCTTAAGAGATCTCACTACTTCAAATGGCATGGAGTTGATGTCGTTGAATTGCTCGAGAGACGCCGTAATTGGATTAAATCTCCCTGGTGTTGCTCGAAGAAGCAACAACAGCACCTTCCTCTAGCTTTTCACCCAAATTTCTAATTTGAGTGACAACTCGTGACAGTTTTCTAGTGAAGTCTGTCATAGTTTCATCATCCCCCATTTAAAGCATCTCAAGTTCTCGCATGAGACCTTGAAGTCTTGATTTCGTGAGACGGGTCACTCCTACAAATGTTGCTTTGAAAAGCTCTCAAGTTTCTTTTGCCGTTTTTGTGATGTCGAGTTGTGTCTGAATGTCTTCCGACACGGCTCCGAGTATCACAGAGAGGGCTTGCCGATCCTTCTTCCTTGCTATTGTCTCTGACTAAATAGCATCTCATAAGCTGTGGCCTCCAAGTGGAGTTGCATATGCATCACCCACACTAGATAATTGGTCTTATTTGAGACCAGAAACGTACCTGGATATCCGGCATCTCCAGGTCCTTTCACAGCTCCGCTTGTGGCGAACTAGCTCTCGCCTTCCATAGCATCTCCATGACGCGGCATCTTCTGTCGTCTCTCTGCAAACCTGACTCTGATACCAAATGTTGGGATCAAATGATCTGGAGAGAGAATGGGGAAGGATTAAAGCACGGATGTTTTCAAAGAAAACAGAGCAGCCTCTCTACTTCATACATTTCATCGCACATGTTGAGTACAATTTATAGGAGAGAGCAAGAGTAACGGTCGTTAAAGATAGTTCTGATTCGTGGGGACAAGTTTTCACGTAGCTTTCATCTCAGCCATTATAACTCAGAAGAGATGGACGGACAAGATTAAAAATAACAAGACTTAAGAAATGGTAAACAATTTGAAACAGTCTTCGCTGGAGAAACTACCAAAGTGTCGTCGTTTCTGGCGATCTTCATGCTCCCGTTTCTTGACTAGGCTTAATGCCATCACAGGTATCCAGAAGGGTCAAAACCTGAATTCTCGTATACCGCAACATAATGCTCCTGAAGGCAAACCTCAGCACGTTGTAGGCCGCCGGTGGTATGCGGGTGACGACAGTTCCAGAGTCTATGATTGTGCCGCCAGCTCTGACGTCGGAGTGTCGGTGATCCGTAGCATTTTACACTCCTACGCTGATTCGGAGCTACTGCCGAGGGTCAGCTGGCCTGTAGAACTGATTCGGTTGGGGAGACAGTAGAAGACGTTGTCGAGGCTGAAAGAGGTCTGTGACACCAGAGAGTAGGAGCCTCGGCCAAGACCCATCAAGCCAGCGACACCCTCAAGGAGTCCCCCGTTGTTTATGCCGCACCCGAAAATGAAGTTCTGGAACACGTAGGCTGGTGTCAGCGTACGGGTGTCAGAGGAGAGGAAACCGACGGTGCTGGTGCCGTCGCGGTATCGGACACTATAAGCGCAGGCACCGGCGGAACAGCTTGGAGGATTGAGATTGGCACACGCCGACGAGCCGCAGGAGAACCGGGTGTAGGAGGAAGAGGCCGAAGGGTTGAATATGGGCTCTTACTGTGGGTAGCACGACGTGCAGGGCCTACACTGGACCCAGCAAACGTCACTACCGGCGTTGATTACCACTGTCTGGGCTCTCGTGGGAGTGCCGAGTCCGATGGTAATGACGTAGTTGCCGGTGCCGAGGTAGGCACCGCTCTGCGCTGGAATGGAAACGCCGCTCTGATCTGTCGTTCTCTTGTTGTTGCTAACGGTTCCGGATACTCTCGCCTGCAATGAAGCAACCCTGAGGGAGTCCTGGGCTAGAGTTTTCTTTTGGCTGTGTTTGCTGTCGTTGTAGGGTGAGCAAGGACCGTAACTGTGGATGATCGTAAGGGAATGACCCCACTGGCCTGTTAACAGAGGAGAAGATCAGAAATGTTGCTGTCTGGTGTTATCTCTGATGGATGTTCTGGTTTTTTGTGATAATGTTGACGCCACAAATACAGAGAGGAAGATATCGATGTGAATATGTGCATGTATTTATCTATGTGAAACTAGCGGGAGGAGTGGAGGTATATACATATGAATACACACATTTATATATATATATATAGAGAGAGAGAGAGAGAGCCATCTGAGAACGGATGGAAGGTTGAACGGTTCGTGAGCAACGACAGGTGTAACTAGACCAAAAAACGAAATCCTTAACTAATTATTGGAGCGGGTCATAATTCCATATTTTTTTTGAATGGACCCTAACATCTAGTCAGACAGTCCAAGGTAAGATAATATCCAGTAAATTGATGAATAAATGATTTACCATAAATTCCTTGTCGTCAGATTCTAAAAATCACTTTGCAGATGAAAATTTCTAGTCTCAATTGAATGTCTTTCAGAATCTAATTCGCAATGGGTTTCATCCAATTATATTGTAAATTAGATAACAATTACCTGACTTAGTACCCCTCGCTTTGGATTGTTTTCCTTGATAGAGGGATAAATGGAGAGAGAGAGAGGAGAATTGTTCCTGGCCCGAAGAATTACAGAGTTCCTTAATAAGGGATGGGCGGATGGTTCTAGAGAGAGGGGGAAAGAGAGAGAGCGAGAGCGAGAGAGAGAGAGAGAGAGAGAGAGAGAGAGAGAGAGAGAGAGAGAGAGAGAGAGAGAGAGAGAGAGAGAGCGGGAGAGGAGACCTTTTTCAGTCCAAAGGGTTGCATCTTTATCCCCTCCTAATTAGATAAGTGCACAGTTATTGAGAGAGTGAGGCAGAGAGAGATAGTGAGGACAGAGAGACAGAAAAAGGGCATCGTTCCCAATCCGAAGGATTAGAGTCTAGCCCTTCCTAAATAGATGGGTGGCTGGTCGTTGAGAGAGAGAGAGAGAGAGAGAGAGGGGAGAGATAGATGGATAGAGAGAGAGAGAGAGGGAGAGATAGATGGATAGAGAGAGGGGGGAGAGATAGATGGATAGAGAGAGAGAGAGAGAGGGGAGAGATAGATGGATAGAGAGAGAGAGAGAGAGAGGGAGGGAGAGATAGATGGATAGAGAGAGAGAGAGAGAGAGAGAGAGGAGGGAGAGGGAGGGATAAGGAGGGAGAGAGGGAGGGTTAGGGGGAGAGAGAGAGGGAGGGAGAGGGAGGGAGAGAGAGAGGGAGGGAGAGGGAGGAATAAGGAGGGAGAGAGAGAGGGAGGGAGAGGGAGAGAGAAGGAGAGAGAGAGATAGAGATGTAGGTAGATAGACATATAGATAGTGAAAGGTGATAGAGATAAAATTCACACGGTGACGAAACATAACTTAGGATCATGTGCGAAAATATAAAATCGTGCAGTCATCAGTCACTATAAAAGATCAGACACTACTAATCTCGTCATTATAAGACTTCTAGACTTGTTCAAAGAATTGTAATTTTACAATTATAAATTAGTAGTTGTATTTATGTATTAATATCTTATATATAGATTACCTAGGGCACATCAAGATCATCATGAAGCAAACATCATTCAACCTAGGACTAATGCACAGCAAAGTTTGTACAAGATTTAGATTTAGGACATCTTTGTAATCTTCTCTATAGATAGATTAACTTTTAATTCGAACTAGTTTTATCATTTATTCCATCATTCTATTATATTAGATTTATTCTCTCGCCTTTTGTCAAGCTTTTTATAACTCTTGTCTTCATCTTTTTACATTTAATTTTGTCCTTCACAATCTCACATATATATATATCTATATAAGAAATAAAATAAGTAGAATTCGTCCTCTTATTACCCATGCTCCTTGAGAATCAACCCTTATTTATCTTAAATACAAGAGTGAGGTTTTATAAATATTATTTACATGAACTTGGTTACATCATGACAACACATTTAACCTTCAAATTGAGTTCATTCTAATTCTATCGTGAATTTTTTTCAAAGATGAAGAATACAATTGCTTGATAGAATTTATTCATCTTAGCAAACCTTTGGATGAAGAACAATTGGTAGTGGGCACAAAGTCATCCACTTTGAAGATTGAGAATTTTTGGTTAGTCCCTAGACTTGGTTGTTGTAGCAAGACAGAAAAACACAGAACAATGTAGAGGAGATCAATGAGAATGGAGTCATTTTCGGACTGCTCTTTGGTGTGGTGTCTAGTGCCAAGATGACACTGTATATAAACTTCATCCAGTGCAGGAACAAGTCGTGCTGTAGTTACTCTGTTCATTGACTTAAATCCTACTAGATAGCCAATCAAGTCAATCCTTTGAGGATTCTTCTACTTGACTAATAAGAATATGATAGTTTCTATTTCTATGTCATTTTGTATGTTATTCAGTTGTCAAATTGGCACCAGTGACAATGGATAGAATTCAAAGTGTCCAAAGTTAGAGGCAATGCAGGAAAGGTAAAAATCATTTCAAGAAGTCGGAGTCGTTGTGTTGGAGTATCAAAACTAAAACAGAATCAAAAGAACTTAGTTTGATGCTAACAATTGATGTGCCTGAATCAAATGCTAACAATTCATGTGCTAACAAGGATTATAAAGTGGTGGAACAACCTTTCTAATGAGGAGATTAGAGACAATTTTTCAGCAGTCAATGATTACACCCAAAGGAGGCACATGTGTGGACTTGGTGAATAATTTAATACTGTCTCTTTTGCCAATTTTTGTTGGAAATTAAGTTTATGATTGAATATTTTGGCTATGTTTAGAAGTTTTTCATGTCTATTTAATATTCTAATTTATCCAACCATATTTACCAATTTTTGAAAATTTAGTTGTGGAAATTTCTAGCCAACAATTATGGGAGCTGTTGGGATTTCTAGATTGCATTTAGGAGGACTTAATCAAAGATTTAATGTTTTCCTATAAATAGAGGGCCAGCCTTGATGTCAAGAAGATGATATTTTACATAAAATTTTTGGTGGAGAGACAAAGCATAACCTTGGCATTAACTTACTTAGGTGTATCATATTGAATGAATATTGATTTAGGAAGCATCATGACTAGAGGAGTAAGACTCAACCACATGAATCTTGCTCAATTATCTTAAATTCTTAGGAACT